TGTACTAGTGTGATTGGTCGATTGTACTGACGTGATTAGTTGATTCAACTAAGAGATTGGTTGATTTAACTAAGCGATAGGTTGATAAAATGGATTGTAATGATTGACTGACTTCAGACATTGACAATAATTGTTGATAATCATGGATGATGAAAATTATGACTGTCTTTGATGATAATTGATGAAGATGATGATTTCGTATATTCACCTGAATTGTCTTTATCTTTCTCCAGCATCTGACCACTTGGCAAACTGACAAAACACTTGCCACAGGAGCGAAGGCTATTTCAAGTCCTCTATTAAACTTGCACATTGATTCCGAGCATTCTATGAGGTTTAAAGTGGAAATCACTACAAATGCTGCGATGGCTAGGAGACAAAATGCATTCAAGCCTGCTAGAAGTGCTGTCTAGGAAAAATGAAGATATTTTTCATGTAACGATGAACTATGAGTACTGTGAGAAAGGTGGGGATGCCGAAAGGGAGACAGGGATGGGGCAAATTGCCCTAGGGCCTCGAGGCCTTATAAATAAAATAATTCCATTATAAGAATGGAATTAATCAAACGTTGCAAAATAATGCTTAAGAAATAGTAAAACATTTCGTAACAAAAGCATGCATAAAAAATAGAAAAAACTTTCAAACGATTGCAAGAAGATGAATGCAAGAAATATCTTAAAAAGCATTCTAAGCCAATCTAAATGAGCCTCAAATCTGGAGGAAACTCGTCTTTCAGTTTTGGCCCGGGGCTTTCGAAACTTCAACTACAACTACATGCATACATAATGAATGATCTAAGGAATATATATTTAGGTCTGACATTTACCAAAATTTATGTGAAATTTCTCAAGCTGGAGTTAAGTCAGCAGAAGACAAAATCAAAGGCGGGAAATTAAAATAGTAGGTATGCATTTAGCAACCTGAATACATTTTACAAATGTGTCGGCAAAAGAGGAATGCTAGCAAATATTGTTGGGGAGACGGAAAATAGGACCAAATGAAAGAAATATGTTTTCCCAACTTCAAATACTCTCCAGCTTCAGATATCTAGCATAGTATCATTTATGGTTTTGCATGTACAGATTTAACTCACTTGGCATTTGGTTGCTTTTCTTTTAAAAATTTGAACAGCAGTCATTCCAATGATGAAATACTATAACAGAATTTTAAATGTTAAAGACATGGGTACACAAATTGAATTGAAAACGTTTTTCAGAAAAGATCCAATTCGTTTTACAAGAAAGACGTCCAGAAAAAAATAGAAACTACTGTACGTGAAGCAGATAACCAGCCCTCTCATTCATGAAATTCAATAGAGTTCTAAGGTGGCGACGTGACAAAAATTATTTTAAAGATTTTTTGAAATTTGTTCCCATAACCTGAAAGAGCATCACGAAATACCTCTAAATTTGCAAAATCAGTCGAATGTGTTATGAATTGGCTGAGATATGGTCACGTGTGCATTTACTCTTTCCCCATCATGTGTATTTGGACTCTGCTCGTAACTTTATGAACAGAGCCAAAATAGCAGTGATTCGTTAGCAAACTTCAAATTTTTCACTGGCAATATCTCACCCAATTTTAGACATATTTAAACTGATCTTGCATAATTGGAAGTATTAAATCGTGGCGTTTTTAGAATTCATATGAACTCTAAAATTCTATGTTGTTAGAATTCAAAAATTCAAAAAATAGCTTTTTGTGATGTTAAACTTAAGAACTCTTTAGTCTTTACAAATACTAAAATTAATGACACCAAAATTTAAAAAACTTGAGGGGCTTTCGAGGAATTACAGTAGTCATATATAGTACCAAGAAAAAAATATCTTTATCTTTATAGTACGAATTCGTTGGACTTACCAAAAACCCACCAGCAATGTTGATCCACATCTCGGTGGTTCTTGAGCAGTGAGGAACATTTCTGCACGGCGCAAAACCCACAGCCGCCAAGATTCCACCACACAAACACTGTCCAAATCCCAATTTTTCATTGCACATCTCGGCCAAACGGTTCGGATACTGGTCGCGTTCTTCATTTCGCTCCAAAACGACAATTGTGTTTGGTGCGCTGGCAGCATTTAAATTCGGCTCAACGACGTAAACGTTGTCCATTTTTGCTGTTGTAACATAGTACGAAAATTTTCCACAATCTTTCCACGTTCCGGTAGATTGGAAGTCCATACACGAAAGACGAATATTCAAGAAAATTGAATGTCGCGTTCTTATCTGTGTTTGAACAAACAATGACTTTCTCTCTCTTCATGCAAAGGTGCACGCAGCATAGGGATCTCTGGACGATTCTGTAAGCTGCACATTGAAAATGGGTTTGACAAACAATAATTGTAAGGCAAGCAATAGGAACAACGCAAAACGGCGAGAGACAATCCAATAGAATATAAATAAAAAGAATTTGACAAACAAAAATTCAGAAAAAGTAAAAAGTATTATTTCGCGCCGGCACACGTGGGCCTCATTAGAGAAGTAACTCTAGGATACCGAGCCTTTTAACTGAAGGATTTCATAAATTTCTTTCCTTTTTCTCTTTTCTTTTTCATATCTTAAAATTTAAGATTCTATACCCGCTCGATGCAGATGTGGAATTATGATGTAATAACTCTATTTAGGTAGACTCTCGAGTGATTTGGCTTCAGAAACAAGGAATTATTTCGACAATCGGAAGTAGTTTCACCACGTGCTCATTGTAACACGGAGCGTGTAATTGTGCATGATATACAAAAACTATCACTGGACGAGGATATCAATATATACATTTGTGAGCGAAGGATGTTTAAAAGATTGAAGAAATGGAACTCAACGATTGGAAGTTGCAGGATACCTGGATCGTGAAAGAAAAATCCGAGGAAATGAGTAGTTATAGAGAGGATAACAAGCAACTGCTTGCTTTTGCATCACTTAATGAATCACAATCAAGAAAAACAACTCCATACCCATTGCGAATCGATACAACAAGCATCAAAATAGCCTCAACCTTGCAAGCTATCAGTGCTGTGTTTATATGGATCAGTTGTCTGACCCGTCTTGTGTTGAAAGAGGGGATCGATGCAGTGTGCCTTACGTCTTTAGTTTTGTGTCCTACGGTAAGTAAAGTTTCGATATATTTAACCAGATATGGCTAAAGTAAAAATCTGAAGGGGCGAGGATATCGTTAAAGGCGAAAATAAATGCTCCGAGATTAAATCCCTCTGCAATATTTTGAAAATTGGTGCATAAAACAAATTTTAGATTAATGCTCCCAGCTGCATCACATGTGTTTGCTATGGGTATGGGAAATAAGATACTTATTATAATGATATATTTTTTATTTTCAGTTTCTTTGCACGTGCTATTTGGGTTTGGCTCTAATTGAAGCACCGAGCAAGAATCAGGTAAATATAGAACAAAATGTCATTTTTAAAAGCTCCAACATTTAACCGCCAAACTACCCTGGGTCCCAGAACCACAAAATTTCGAGCACGGAAATGGAGAATCAAGCGGAGAATTGAGCTAAGCCTGTTTTGGTCAATGGTAAAGCGAAGATAATACTTTATGAATTTGAGCTTATAGGACGATATTTCGCCTGATGCACTAGAAGGCAAAGTCAGAAACAAACTTAATACAATGAAAAGATTGGGAAATAAGTGTTGCAAATTCAAATGCTTAAGCTTGTTCACAGATAAAACTGAACTGATAGTCTGGAGTCCTTTGCGTGGAGGGTACAACCTGAAGGGGCCAGTTATAGACATGCCTGAGAGAGACAATGTGCCTGAAGGATTTTTCAACTTTGAATTTTAGGACATCTTCTTTGGCTCTACTGACTGCCAAGAGCCTTAATAACCAGTCAATTCAGCTGTTTAATCAATTCTTCCTACTACAGTCATGCTGTTATTTCTAGTCACTTGCAGTCTTGGATGCATAAGATAGCAAGAAAAAATACTAAAATAAAGTTCATGCAAAGCTAAAACTAAGCAAAATCCACTCATTCGATGTTCTCAAGAAAAAAATCGTTATAAATACTAGAGATTGACTACATGTTTCTAAAGAGTAGATATTTTAGGTGTCTTTTCAAGGGTTACTCATCGAGTGTGAAAAAAACAGGAGCTGTAGTGGGCCAAATTCTCTTTACGATTGCCTTCACGTGGCTTTTCATAATTTTTCTTTATAGTTTGATCTAATATAGTTACTTCGTCTTGCATCAAAAACATAATATCTAACACCTTCTAGCATTGTTTATTGGCACCATATTGAATTTAAAAGTATGGCCAGAAACAATTCTGACATTATGAGAGATCGGTTACTTGCTTCTCTCAAGTATACACCAACTCGACTTACCGCCTCGTTTAGGAAATTTCTCCAAACTTCAGTATGTACGACATTTTTATGCTCAGATTCAGCTTTATCATCATAATTTTAGGCTGGATACAATTCTTTCATATTGTTTGTGCTTGTATTGTAGATTTAACGCAGAAATGAGGCTGTAAGTTGAATTGGTGTATTACGTGCTTCGTCTAATTTGTTTAAAATAAGAATAACTTCGCGGGAAACATGTCTAGCCTCAGATAAAAAAATTGAAAAATGAACAACAGCTGTTTAGAGATTTTAAGATTTAGAGGGCAGATTTTATCAGCAAATCAATCCTGCAACTTAAATGGTTTACAAAATTGTTGTTTAGTGGTCTTAGAAAGAATTCATGGTATAAAGATGTGGAACAATTAAGTTAGATAAAAACACTTTTATGATGCCATTTGATGTTCTCGTCTATTTTGTTGAGATATTATAAGCCAAAACTATTTGCCGTAGATTCTATGCTATTGGCATTTTAACTAATCGTGAGGTATGAAAGGCCACCTCTTCTTTAAAGCGCCTTCTTTGAGAAAATGCCTCAAAAAAGTTTGAAAATTTTAAAAGAGCAACCCAGGCGTAATATGGTATCTTAACAGCTCTACATATCAAAAGTCACTTGAGTCAATGCTGTTATCAAATAGCTAATTCTAACACAACATTAAAAGATGTATTCAGTAATTTTGTTATTTCATACTGGGAACCAAAGCTATTTCATATTTCAAAACCAGAAAATCTAAATAGTTATATTTTCTCCCTGGCCCTCTTTTGCTATCGCGCGTGTTTATAACAACCACGTAACTTACAAATGGTTTGTTTCATTCCCAGATTCTCCATTACATTGCCTCGTCAATAATAACAACAATCTGTTCATTGCTGATGGCCACTACCAATATCTTCGTTTTTCATAAATGGGAAGGATTTCATGCACAATTAATATCCGAAACAGTACTCGAGATACTGCTTATCAGTTTCACCGGATGCGGCGCCTTGTCCGCGCGTAAAATATTTAGCGCCGTTTGCGGAACACATAAACGGAAAGCTATCTTGTAATGCATGTTAATTCTTATTCTTACGGTTAACTCATCTTGGTATTGAAATAACATTGATATTTTTAAAATTCTGTTGGAACATACCTTGTATTCAGAAACGAATTCTGATATAACCTAATTAGTTTAATCGTACACTTAGAATTGCCGTTGGTCAAAATTCGGGTAGAGTAGCAAGATTTTCAGTGATGCAAAGAGCATTCGTATCCATTACAACACATTGCAACACGATGGAACTCGTAATGACTAGCTAGCGACCGGGAAAACAAGCTGTTGAAAAGGTTGAACAAATCTCACAATCCACAATTGACAATATGTTAATAAAAAAGAATAAAATTTCAACTAGTTAATTGACCTTAAATCTATATGACTCGAGAGAATTGAAAAATAAATATACAGTTGTGAGTATATTTCACTTTTTAGGTATAAATAATTGCAAATAGGTATGAACCTAACTTCAAAATCAAGGCTGAAAAGTCATTGAAGAAGTCAACAACTGGCATTGCAACGAAAACGCGATTTACTGTAAATCCACGAATTAGCCCCAAGGGTTTATTAATTTTACAAGGGAATCTATTTGAGGGGGGCTTATTTGAGGGGGCAATTCGAGGATTTGCCATTTTTTAAATAACCATTTGACTAGACCCAATCAAAATATTAATGAATTTGGTAGGGTGAGGGGGCTTGATATTTAAAAAGGAAGGGGCTTGTATTTAAAAGTAAAGCGTAGCGAGTTTATTTAACTGACATTAAGATGTATTTATTTAATTGTAAATTGATTATTACTGTCAAAAGATTGCGTTTCTTGTCAACATGTGCAGTTCTATTTTCTAAAGTCCAAACAAGCAACACGACACAAACTGAATTTCATGCACACTCCGGATAGAACCCTTAGAGGGGACCCCTTCAATGGAGGTGAAAGTGTTAATCAGGAAAACTTACTGCTTCAAGTAAGGTTGCGTTGCATTTAAAAAATGTATTACATATTGACTCTTGAAGCAGATGTGGAACTCGATGATCTTTAGGTCACCTGTTTCCCTGCCTGTGGATTGAGAATATGACAACAGGGACGATACTGGTGCTTTCTACTCGTGTTTTAGGCCAATACTCAAACAACGTATGTACAAAAAGTATTCTCTATGCCGCTATATTTACTCCAATGTTCTTAATTGTTTTCTAATCAAACATGGAAACTGCTATTTGTTGCCACAAAGCTGCTTCGGCAATTCGGGCTGGTGATGCCAATCTGCAAGAGATACACAACAATCATAATCTTCACGTGTCTAGAAGTTTCATGAAGAATATCCCTAGATCTTATAGCTTCTGGTGATAGACGGGTTTATCAATCTTTCCAAAAGGTCAAAGAGTTTTAGAACAATAGTAATTCTATGGATTTTGGGAGACTTTTCTCTAAGCAAAAGAATATTTGTCAAAGGACTACGAGAACCGGGAGTGGAGTGGACTAGAGAGAAGTGGATGTGTGTTGGGAGGTTGAGAGAGAGAGAGAGAGAAAGAGAGAGAGAGAGAGAAAGAGAGAGAGAGAGAGAGAGAGAAAGAGAGAGAGAGAGAGAAAGAGAGAGAGAGAGAGAAAGAGAGAGAGAGAGAGAGAGAGGGCGGTGGATAAGGGTCTCATCCATAAACACTATTGCACCTCTCCCAATGGTCCCAAACAATTTCGGGGCTCTGTCATCTGTATCCCTCTCTCATCGTATGCCCCCTCCACTTTTTGACGGCTGACACTTCCACTGAGCGCACAAATCCAAAGGTTTCAGCACAAAAACGTATTACTTGCGATGCCCTCAACATATTTAAAAACCACTCATGAGAAGATAGACAGGTATTTAAACTAGTGGCTGATATCCAATACAAAGATTTTCTAGTCGTGTAAAAAAAGCACTAAGAAGACTAAGATACACATTGTCCACAAATATATAGCAAAAGTCGGTCTTTGTCCCTTAGAGTTCGTCCCTTAGAATGAAGATGTCAATTGTCGCCAAAAAGAGTCGCATTAGTTGCCTTGCATTTCATTGGCCACAAGGATCACATTGGTCATGTGACTTTTGATTGAATACAATGCGCAGCAATTTGAAGGGAAGAAAGAAGGACTGCTGGGAAAACCACGTGAGAACCAACAGTTCAAGGCAATGTGGATCGAGGCAAAGAAAAGGCAGAACAACGTCAATCGATGTAGTTTTAATATATAAATCAATAGGGTTCAAGGAGCGGCTTCAAAAGACTGTGTTCCATTATTATATAATAAATTCAGGCGAAAATAAATTGATAGGCAAAAGATCTTACGGCAAACAATCCATCGCCAATTTAAACATGGCTACTAACGACTCAAAACGCAACAAAATCTAATGCTTGATTTGCTGCCGCCAACATTGTGGCTTTGATCACTAGTAGAAGATAAATTTGACCTTTTTGCAATAAAAAAGTGGTCTGGCAATGCAGGGTGTGTGCCTGAGTGTCATACCCCTTCGAGGTTCTCTAACGCTTGGCTTTAAAAGTCCTTCGTAAATCGTCTAGTAAGTCATCTGGTGTGAGCATTTTTAAAGCGTTATTATATAAATTATCAAATGAATCTGATAGAATAGATTAGAAGTTGTAAGTCCAAAATGGCAGTTCTTTCTTTGTATGATCATTTAGCATTTCGAAAATTTGTTTGAAGTTGGCAAAACATTATCCAGCATAACTAATCTACCACTCATCACTCAGCACATAAATCTTGACCAACTCATATCCTGTCTCTAGATTCGTACCCAAATACTGTCCCTTCTAAAATACCATTATTTCACAGGACTTCGGAAAACTAGGGCATATGGCGGACATGACAACAGTGGACAACGAACTTGACTTGCTAAATGTCATATTCGCAATAGAGCTGAATGTAACTAAAGGTAACCGATTGCTTACTTATTCCACCCATCCAGCTCCCTGGCAAATATAGCAACAAGTCCATCGCATTATTTGTCTAGATTCCCTAGTATGACCGGACACTAACATGACCCAAGTTTCTAGGTACGACAAAGACCCAGATTATGAGCAAGTCAGCGCAGCATGTTAATACGAACCTCTATTGGGGTCTGCCTCTTTTACGTGCCTATGAAGTGAAAATTCTCATGGTTGAGAGTTGAAGTGGTCAATTGTTGCAATAAATGACATACCAATGTTTTGTTAATTCTTATGGTCCAGTTTAATGGCATAAAACTTTAACTTTTATGATTTCTACCCTACACCGTTAGCTTGAAGGATTGAAATTTTTTAAGGACACAAACCGAAATTATCTGGTAAGCGCGGGACATGAAAATAAACAAGTCATCCGGACAGCAAACATGGGCACCAAAGTGCAGGTGAAACATGGCAAAACAGTATTGAAATGGATGTCAGGAAAGAAAGGAAAGAACAGAGGGACAAGGTGTATGCGTCTAAATACTGGAACTTAAGAGAAAACCATCAAGTGACACAAACAATTGTACCTTCAGTGGGACATTTCAACTATATAGGGTTCCAAGGCACACAGACCTCGATAAAACTTTAATTTCCGCTTAAATTTCAAAATAGGACCGCTCAAAATTCGAAACCTCGCGAAATGCTATTAAACCAAAATCAGAAGCAAACAAAGCGAGGATATTCCCTTTACCAATACCTGCTCCAGCTTCCTTATATTATCTTTCAAAAACCCTTTCACAAAATGCCCAAAATTCAAGAAAATGTTGAGGAAATGGACTATAGCATACATCAATCGTAAAGATAAAACTTTTTACCGAGAATTCCTGATACGATCCAATGTTTCCTGGCTGAGCGTTCTCCTTGTTTACAATTGAGCCACTGACTACTGAGGATTTTGACGAGTTAAGCTTGGCCGAGGGGGACGGGTGCTGGTACGTCATGTTATGGCCTGCAATTTGCCGCGCTCGAGTTTGCTGCCGCATACGGTTGGATTTTCGTCGTGCAGAAGTCTGAGGCGATATTAGAAACTTTGATCAATAATACAGGAATGACAGCAGCAGGGAAAAAAGACCAGTAAAAAATAGTCTTAGCAGAACTTGTAACTGAGGTTTTTACGAATCAACCTGTTGCAACAGGCATTTACATACCATGATTTTGCTTTTCGTCTGTTTACCAGTCAATGGTTTCTTTTCCGAGCCTGGTGTCTTTTTGGGCGTGTTCATTATACTGGAGTGTACAAACCGCGTGTTGTTATGGGTTGTATCCATCTAGAAAAGGATAACACAAATTAAAATTGAAATCAGAAAATGAAAATAATAAATGAGATCAAAATTTTGGATAAACATGTAATCCCGCTTCGAAAGGCCAGCCTAGGGCTCTTCCCTGTAAGATTCATGTTACTGCTTTTTACAGTTTATTCAAAATGTAAGAGCATTCTACAGACACTCTGGAAATAATAAGAACAAATGAACATATATCTTTCTAGACAGTCTGATAAAATATCCAAAAAATAAGCAGCGGAATGGAAACAGTACTCACTCGACCCCTTTTAGGCGATTTCATAGGTGTTCCTGTACGGATGGGTGTGCCGACAGCTTTCCTGCAATGTGAAAAAGAAACTATTTTACAAAATTCCAAGAGATAATTCAACTTTTGCTGAACAGAATAGAGAAAACGATGTATAAAAAGAATTGGGCATTCTTCGAATAACTAAGGGTTCTAAATAAGGGTTGGGGTTAAAAAGGGTACAAAATACCTTTTTGTCGTTGAGGGCTTGCTACCAAAGACCATCTCCTGCTTGGTGCTCTCGAGCTTTGCTTTATTCTGGTGGGAGGAAAGAATGACAATAAACAAATCGGTTTGAGGAGACAATAATATTTTTAGGTTGCTAAGTTGCTATGTACTGATTTTAGAAAAGCTGCCCAGCATGTATGATTGACAAGAAGGAAAAGCAAGAAGACGGAAAATATTCGTTATGTCATGATTTTTAGGTGAAAAAATATTGACAAAACCAAGGCACATTTGACAAAAACTAGCCCCTAAAATAATTCTTAATAAACAAGGAATTCGAACGCAAACACAAAAATCCAACGTCTTCCAATAAACAAATGTCAATAATATTTTGATATCTAATATAATGATAATTATTTCTGCAAACAGCTAAAACAGGGAAAACACAGAATCTACAGAATTCCTTCTACTCATACAAATAAAATTCTTTTGAAGCTAGATTTAAATTATTTTTCATCCTCATATTGATTTTTCGATCTACAATACATTTTCTAACTTGTTTTTTCTAACCCTTTAATTATCACATCCTTAATTACATTTTTTGGCTGATCAAACCATTTTCCCTCATTAAAAACAGAAAAAGATCTATGAACCAATCTTCCTAGAAACGTGTTTAAAGCCTTCCATACCCTCTCTTGTTTTTTCTGCTCCTTCAAAGCTTCATACGCAGCGTGTTGAGATTCAATACGATCCAGGTATCTTACTCCGTTGTACAAGAAATATGTTTCGTTGTCCGTCTCCCATCCTTTCAGTGACTTCTTCAGCTCTTCTTCAATCTGCAAAGAACATATTTAAAGTGTGGAACAAAGTTCGCTTGTGAATATTAACACGTGAAAAAACTTGCACAAAGCAGAGTTTTACGAGGTTAGAAGTTTTACTGTTGAATAGCTTACGGTTTTTATACATCTTTAGTTTTAAAGAGATGTTTTTATTTCAGTTAATATAAACCAAGGCCAGACTTGTAGTCCATGGTCTATGATTTTGAACTGCTATCCTTCGAAGGTCATATTTCCCTATAAAACTGTCCATAAAACAGATTCTCGTACATTACTTAAAATCAAGCTCGAATCCGATTTTCAATACGATGCCATCTTGTCAATGCCAATATTATACATTGCAGTACTGGAATTATACTTTTTGTATTATTGAAGTCATTTTACGTTACATTTAAGTCACATTCTTTTTTTTGTTAAGATAGAACTGCCCGAATGGAACATGAAATGCAAAAAGGGCATGTCTTAGAGGGAAGAGGACAGGTCCTTCTGTGCCTGCAAAAAAACGAAGGCCCCTAATGCACCCTGAATCATAACAATGCAAAAAAATCCCAGACGAAAATTTCTAAACTCACCTTGGGCAATCCTTTTTCAAAAGCTGCCCTCATCTTTGCCTCCTTCAGAAGGGCTCCACCCCTTGCATTGAACAGACGATCCGCATTTGCTGACTTGTTCTGAAAAAATTCAACTCACGCATAAACATAAAAACAATTAAATACAGGCATCAGAACTAAGTCTACTATATACAAACCATATACAAATTCACATAAAGGCAGTTAGATGTTTTTTTAACTGAAGATCAAATGCAACTACAAAGTTGTTTTGCTGACAGCAAAGCACTTTTCCGAGCTTATTGTGTACAAGTTATTTTATTTTACTTGCTATGGTTGGGCTTCACAACAGATCAAGACTGTAAACAAAATAAAAAAATATGATATCTCAAGTTTCCAGACTCGTACTCAATATGTACTTGTGAAAGATACTCATGAAAGTGGTAGAATGAGCAGGAAAAAAGATAGTTGAAATACTTGTTGAAAGCAATTATTTCAGTTGTTATTGTTTATAACTGTTAATTTTTTATTATACCTTTTGTTAATAGCCCAAGCTAGATAAGTACACACTTTCTCTTGGGCCGTTATATTACAGTATTTATTCAGTATTCTTCTGTAGTATGTGAATGAAATTGAATTAAATTGAACACTGTAAGATAACAGTGTTACTCATTGCAAGCCAAATCTCAGAGGAACCCCAACCTCCAAACTAGAGGAACTCCAACCTCCAGGGTTTGATGATGGCTGGTTGAAGTCATGGAATCAAAAGGGTTAATCACTTTCTTACCTCAAAATCCATTTTGTTTTGCCATGATACCTCCCGCTTTTCAATTAATTTATATATCTTCTTGTTTTCATTGAAATAATTATTCATAATTTGGACTTGGTGCTCATGTAATGCCAATGACTCATCATCGAAAACAGCTAGTAAAAACATACATAACTTAAGCAAAAACAACAATTGGTACCATATCAATATATTAAATATTAAAACTAATTACTTATGACATAAATAACAACAATTTAATTAACACAGTGAAGGAAAACAGGTATAGAAGAACACTTTTATATAAAAGCTGATGCCTTCAACATCACTTTGATATAAATGCTCTGAATATTCTCTAGACCGTTTTGTTGACTGAAGGATGGATCCCTTATTTCAATCCCTGAAACTGATAATTGTGCCAATCTACTGTTATTCTAACCAATCAGAGACATTTAAAAAACACAGCATACCTTCAAAGTATGGTCTGAATTCATTTCGCTGCTCTGAACTGTAGTAACACTTATCCCAAAGTGCATCCAGCTCCTTCCTGAGATTGTCCACAAACTTTTGCATATGCTGTCTTTTCAGTTCTTGCAGACGTGATAATTCATTTTTCAGCTGAAATAACCAAATATGCAGAATAACCAATGCAAATTCAGCATATTGAATGTTCAATTAATTAGCAAATGACAGTACTATGACAGTACTATCAACTTTGGATTGGGAAATCAAAAATGAAAAGACCCAATCTGTGTAATTGAGAAAATAAAATATGGATTTATTCTTTAAAAAATACAAGGGGTTGAAATGTAGTTTATATAAAAAATAACAAATTTCAGCTACATGCCAAAGTAGACTATTTTCATTTCCATCAAAAGTAAAGAAATAGGTGCAAGGATAAACAAAGATTTCTATTAAATGGATCTGTCCCAGACTGCATTAGTTTCACTTTGAATGAAGCAAGTTACTTGATGATCACATCAAGCTTATAATTCAGAGTGCCAACTAAGAATCCCTTTCTTATAAATTCTGATATAATATATATAAAACCATAAAAAAAACCTCAACCATTCATTCAATAAAAAAGTTCATTCTTACCGCATTGGCAGTCTTTGGACATAATTCATTGTTCTTTTCTGTAAATTTCTTCCGCTCTTCATCTGCAACCTCTAGTCGATCCCACAATGCTTTTACTTTTCCCCGTAATCCATCAATTTCTCCAACAAGTTTTCTATGTTCAAGCTCAAGCTGAAATACATGTCATTTTGGAAACAAATGAATTTGAAGTCTATATGATTTTAAAGCATTATAAACTTGCAGCACAAACAATTATTTGGTAAATATAGGGCTGTAGCATCAACAGACTGACTGATCTTCATATTTTATATCCATATTAATAGATTGAAATATTTTGAAGAATTGTTCACTAAAAGCAACAAATCTATCTTGAATAGGTATGAAGACTTAAAGAAGATTAGGTTGAATATGATTTGGTTGAATAATTTTGTGAGGTTGTTGGCAAGAGCATGGGTGGTCAGCTGCCTGAAACAAAATGGCCTGTACAAGTCTTAGGACCAAAGTGTTAGGACCAGCCCTGTACTATTTTTCGCTATGAATCTGCCATAATTGTAATGTGTTTATTTGCAAATATCACAAAGATGAAAAATCAGAACTGTTAACTTCCTAATTCAAAACTAAAACATTATATGATGGGTCAGTGGTTTGTCTTGGGGATTACAGATCAAATGGTCTGGGGTTCAAGCCCCCCGACATGACCAAACTTTCAACCAGAGTGACGGAAGTCATCAGCTCCCAATAATTCCAGTAGTACAAATCATGAATTGTGGACACATCTACAGGAAGGATCAGGACACTATTTGATAAGTATAGCTTCACAATGTCTTCAAAACAATCGTTAGATATTGGGTAGAAACATATACAATAAATTCAACCTCTTTATTCACAATAAATTCACCAGCAACATTAGAGTTGACTTTCCAATATTCCTCACCTGTTCCTCAAGATCCTTCAGTTTATTCATATTTTCTTTTGATAAGATGAATTTTTCTTCAGCTTCATCACTGCACAACTGCATTTCAAATTCTGAGTATGGATCGATCTCTAGCTCCTTCCATAATCTCTTGATAGATTCTTGATGCTTCTTCAGTAAGGCAAGCCTTTTTTCCTAGAAAATGTTATGTGCATGATAGTAAATATTTATCTTTGATGGCAACTTTAAGGCTACAACCTGTCCTTCAAAAATCTGAAATACCTCTGATGGTACAAATTTCAGTAAATAATTCAAAGTTAAAATTTATTGTTTGCACATATTTGCTTTTGAAATCCCAACTGATTATACATATAATCTAAATATAACAGTTGCATCATCACATGTTGAGAGCCATATCACTGCCAATGGACAAATAAATGACAACTTGAGGCAAAATAAAAACTGCATAGGCAGCATCAAAGGTTCCAAAGCAAATTTAATATCAATCAGCTAAAGAGAGGCTCCTGGAAAAAGGCTATGAAGCATGGAAAAAGAGTTGGTTTAGACAATCCCATCCACCAAAACATATTATTTTATTTTGACAAGGGCCTAAACTTCTTTGAAAACTCTCACTAATGCAACAAGCCTAGGTTCACTAATTTGCTCTGACATAATTTGATTTAAACCAACATAAGGCTCATATACCAAATGTTTAAACAGTATTGTGATGAATTGCATTAAAATCGTGTAAAGAAAATGATAATTAAAAGCTTACCATCTCATCTTGCAGAAACTTGATATTTTGGCTGAGTTCATTCAGCTGTTGAGCTGATGGGCACCCAACAAAGGTCATTTCAAGCTGTTCCAGTGCAAGCCTTTGACACAATGTCAATTCCTCTGATCTTTTGGTGGCTAGAGTTTTCATTCTTTGGTGTTTCTCCTGACGATGGATTGCAACAAAGGTGTTGAAATTACAATAAAATTTTTATAGAAAATTATTGGTTTAACATGACTAAAAACAAGAGTTTGCCAAAAGGAATTTTAAAATTAGACAAATACAAAAATATACCCTATTTGAAACATATATGGTGCCATTCAACTCAATTGTGTAAATCTGGATTGCAATCTTTCTAAATTGGCATGTTGAACCTGCATCTGGGTACAGTTTGTTTATTGCAACATGAAATTGGATGCAGCTCATTTCCTATTCACATTTGATTAGATTTAAATTTGTTTTAAGAAATGGCTCTTTATTATATATCTTTGAATGAGAAAGTAAACAATACTGTTTAAACCTTATTTAGCACATCCACTTCTTTTCTTAGCTCTGTTTCCCTGATAATTAATGACCAACTTGGATCAGCCTGAAAAAGACATAAGTATATACATAGATGATATGATTTTGAGGCATTTTTAGTTGGAGTTAAAAATGTCAGGCAATCAAATTGTGTTACATGATATGAGGCTTGCATGATGAACCATGCTAACAACTTGAATGTAATAAAAAGGGGTTGGAACTGAAGTGGGAGACCTGAAACTTTGGTAATTGAAGTTCTTCTGTCAGGTTATCAATTTTCTCACTGAACTCCACGACCCTCTGCTCTACTTGCTTTTTTAATTCCTGTTCTTCTGTTACCATGTCATTCACCAAATCTAGAAAGTAAATCATAAGCGTAAGTGTATCAGAGAAGCATCACTATTCAAGGAACTTAAGAACCTAAACAAATTTAAAAACTCTAGAAGAAGTCCATAAGGCTGACTATCAGTATCACAGATTGGAAATAAATAAAATTGATAATAAAAATCTAGAATTTTGATCAGGATTTTCATCCCAGGGTAACTGTATCAATATTAAACAGATTCCAACTCTGTTTTTCTTAAGTAGATAGCTAAATAAATAATATTTCGGGTTGATTTTATTAAAATACGAAAAATCTAGCATCAAAGACCATCCACTTTTTTATAGGGTTAATTATTTAAATTTCATGAAGTTTCTTTAGCTTTATATACACATCGATTTTCTTTTTGAAAGAATTTTTGAGCAAAAAATTATTTGCTCGCGTCCTGGTTACCAGAATAAACTTTGAAATAAAGGATAATGTTACTTCTCGAAATCCACAGTAGCCTAAGGTAAAGAATAGAAAAATTTATTAATGGGAAATATATATATCTAAATCCAATCCAATTTATTATTATTTCAAAATACATACTTGCAATGAGATCGAAAAACCTCTCGTTCCTCTTGATTCGTTGCTCTCCATTGATGCCAAGTTGCTCCCATATGATTTCTAACAATTCTTTCCCTCTTTTACACACCTCTACGACTTTTCCAACGACATCGATTTCGCTGTTTATGTCTCTGTGGCAAAATGGCAAAACCGTTACCGAAATACGTTTTATTTTTATAGTAAATAAATTGATCATTTCTTAATTCAGAATAGATTTTATATGTTGTTTATAGCCACAATTCGTGATCAGGAAGGTGCAAGAAGTTGTGGCCTTTTCGGTAGGCCGTGCAACGACAATTTTTATATACAACAAACCTGATCAAAGTTTCTTCTCGGTCATCCATATTCAATACTCGAAGAATCTTCTCGAGATAAGAGAATTTTCCTTGATTTACTCTTGTTTGTTGCAGAAAAGTCTCCAATATTTTGATTTACAGCAATCAGACAATCTTTCGTATTTCACCAGTCCTATCAAATTTAAAAGTGCGCCTTCAAACCGTTCCGCGCTTTGATCACGTGCACACAACAATGGTATTTAATTGGTCAAGGCGTTTTTGAATGAAGTTTACTATCATAATCTCAGTAGGGTGTAAACCCAGGGTCTACCTAGATACACCTTTTTTTATAAGAAACTTGTTATAAGAAAAAAGTGCTGTTTTGGACCAGAATAGACACTTAGAAACTTAAACTTAGAAAAAACAATTAAGGAGCAACTTAATTCTAAAAAATCCAACATTAAACACAAACATTTTCAGTCAGAGTGACAAACATTTGGAAAAGGATTTGTCCGAAATCAAATGTACGAAATTTACAATTATCCGAAAGTTTTTCACGCTGAAATTTTTTGCATGAAACATGTATGTGCGATGGATATTTGGTAAAGCAAAAACAACAATGTTTAAACATATGTCTGCAAAATTTTTCAGGTGGGGGGAGGGGGGTAACTAAGTCTAATTTTGGAAGGTGGTACACCCATAATTCCGCAAAGCAAATAACATTTTTAAAGCACGACGAAAACATCAAACAAATTTGCATGTCTTTTGCCCCAAAATCTCAATGTTACTCATATTTCATACTTTCGTTTCCAGGAGCGGCGCTAAGAAATTCAAAGTGGGGAGGGGGGGCTCGAGTTGATAGCTTTATTAGACTAAAAAACGCACTAATGTGCTTCACGATATTTTATGCCTATGATTTTATGGGGCAATTGTTATGCTAACGGTACATTGGAAGAGGGCCCGCGATAAGTTGGCGGAGGCCCTAGGTACATCGGAAAGAAGAGGCTTTCATGCGAGCGAAGCGAGCAGAAAATTTTGTGTCCACACCCTTTAGATAAGCTTAAAACACATTTCAGAATATTTCTGGCAGCGATTTTCTTGCAATATTTTAAAACATTTTGCCATTTTTAAAGCATGCTTTTAGTACGTTTGATTAATTCAAGTCTTAAACTGGAATTCATTACTTTATAAAGCCCCATAGACCTCCTATTTCTTGGATATTAAGCAATAACAGGATTTGCCACTTTTTTCCTTCTATTTATTTTCTTTTATTCTTTATATTTCCTCAAAGAAGCTTTTTGCAAAAAAGTGGGAGGCTGGAGCCACTTTCAAGTTAGGGGTCTGGGACACAAACTAAAGTGTAATAGAGCTAAAATAATTCTAGCCTTAGCATTTGGATTGTTGTATACGTAGGTATTTTGTATATTACGTAGATTCTTAGAAATCCCCCTTGTGTCCCGAATGTTGTGTCTTCGCGACACAACACCAGGCAACATTACACAGCATTCTATTCTTTTGTTGTAAGAACAGGCCCGTAGCCAAGGATTGTAAGATACGTCGTTTATGTGGTTTATGTTAGCAGTTTGGATTAAAGTCTAGCCTTGGATTGTTACATGATTAGACTTGCTCCAAGTCTATTTCATGCTTGAGGGAAATAAATACTCCTCTCTCAAGCATGAAATAGACTTGGAGCAAGTTTATCACATGATGGAAATGGAAAGAAAAGTATAGCTGCTTGCAAACAGGTTGTCATGTTTCAGTCTTCGCAGCATATCTCTTTCGCGATTTTAAACATCCATTTTACAAAAGCCCCCCCCCCAGCCCCCCTCTGGCGCCGCCAATGGTTTCTAACTGGAATAATTCCAGAAATCTCAATTATTCCTCCTAATAATTTTGCAAGGTGCCCATAGTTCTGCATATTTCTTCAAAAGGTACCATAGTTCAGCACATGTTTCAAAAACTGATACCGATAATTCCGCATTTTTCAGAAAAAGGTACCCCTAAATAATGGCCCGTCCCCATAACTTCAAACAAGTCAAGGTCCCCCCTTTCCCCCATCCCCCGAGGTTCAAATGAATGAAGTAATTAGCAGAACACTCTTCTTTCTATCAGAACAATTTTAAGAACAACACGAGCCCCAAAATTGGTCAAAGTAAAGAATAAATTATGAATAAGCTGAGGCTGAGCTACTCTAAAACGTTTTAACTTGTCGGCAAAAATGAAGATTGTCTCATTCACTTTGTTAGCAAATGAGGACTGAACACCTCCCTAGAACGGACAAGCTAGCAATGACACTGCGTACACCCTATCGATTTAGGAACAAATTAAAAACAATCCAGCCTCAGAACTTAAATTTACTGGTTCTTATAAAAAAGAGTGAAAAATAAGAATCTGAGCCACTTCGTTATACTGAAGGTTTCTCGACATGTCACATTTTCAGTAGTCAGAGATTCTTCCAAGTTTCTTGAAAGTTGAATAACGATCTTGAAAATTATGACCTGATTTGGTTTTGTTTTAAACATTCAAAAGACTGGTCAGAATATTTGTCCGAAAATTTATTTGAAATTTTATCCGCTGAAAATTTTTGTGCTTTATACACTTCTTTATAAGAATCAGAAGATTGAAGTTCTGGTAGGGGTAAAAATTAGGGGGTGTAGGGGTGTGACACCACACAATTTCCAACCAGTCTGCCCCAGACTGAGCTACGATGGTCCTTTCTACGACTCGCTCTCGGACCAGGTGAGAACATTATAAGCAAATGAGAATGTTGGTCCATTTAGAAACGCGAAGAAAATGCCAAAGAAATACCAATATGTGGAGCTTCTTGTTATTCTTCCTACAAGTTGCAGCTACTGCTCAAAATCAAAATTTATTGAAAGGATACCTTTTATTTAGGGGCCCTTGTTAAACATCATTGAAATAGAAATTGACTCATTTTTCAAATTTGAAATACACTAATTTTTTTTATAAGAAACAAGTTATAGGAAGTGGTAGGCTCAATTCTTCGAAAGTTAAGAAACAACCCTACCTAAAGTGAAAAAAGCTAAAAAACTTTTATAATTTGCAGTTTTAATTTTCCGAGTTATCACTCGATACAGTCTTGCCATTGAACATCACTGTATATTGCAACAATACACTTAATATGCAGTTTCCATCCATTCTTAGTAAATTGCACACTCAAGAAGTTTCCATCTAAAAATTTTCATTTGACTTCAACTTGATTGAAACTGATGAAGTTCAATGAGCTTAACTGTTTACAGATCTCAACAGAGTTAGTCATTCAAGGAAAACGAAATTTCTTGATCACTCTGAATGTGAGTGAACTATTTACTTTACCTTGGAAGCACGTTTAAAAAAGTTCATTACCCAAGAAATTTAAGAAACATGTAAGAAACCTTTGATGGCAAAATGGCCAGAAAATTTAAGAAACTGCCTACCACCAGCACGGGATCTTAGTTGCTTATAAAGAAAATACGTGTATTCCTGTTACTTCTTGCTACTTCGCCTAACTTTTTAAGGGTCCGTCTGATAATTATGGGTAAGGAATTTCCTTACGATTTAATACTTTTTGGCACCCGATTCAACAATAGATACCCCTGTTGATATTTGTGGGTTCAACTACAGGACCTGAAATAAGCAATTTTTACAAATCCACATTTTTTCATAAAAATTGGGCGTGGTACTTTGCTGGGATTGGCATCATCATGGGGGTGGCAAATATAGAAACTGCCATCATAGTGCAAATAGCATGTCCTAATTGGGCAAATTCTAAAATGAATGAGATATAAGTAGCAAAAGCTGATCCTTTACAATATCTGGATTGGGTTAATAAAAATTAGCTGCATATAGCGATGTCTTAATATGTGAGCAAAAAGTTGTCGAAAGGAAACTCTTTTACATGGTTTGTTCGGATCTCTGTCAAAGTTAATTTTTATTTCCTTTCACCTTCGAAAACTCCCTTTAATCAGCCTTGCTTCCCAGACTTTGGTGTTTTTTGGTTTTTTGGGGCCATATTTTTGCAGTTTATCTGTTTGTTAAGTTCTTCTGGAGCTGGACCTGCTTCTATTTTGTTGTAGGTGGGAATCAGCCTCTCTTCATTGACAGAATTAAGGATTGCTGCGAGAATCCGAGCCATTGTCTCGTCTGGTAATATTCCTCTGAGAACAAGTCTCAAATCTCTGCGATCTTGGTCGTTTATTTCTCCAAATGTAAAAATTGTACTTGTTTCTTCTTATTCTCTTTTCGCCCAGTTTGAAAGCATGATCTTTACCCCCATCTTGTTTGTAATGCAGAAACCACGCACCAGATCTCAATTTTAAGAATTACGCCAACTTTGTCATAAGATTGTGCTAGATTTGCAAAAATTATGCTAGATTTCAAATCAAGGCAACCCTGCTTGAAAAATGGCTAATGCATGCTCAGAATATCAAAAGTGGCCAGAGTTGCAATTTGTCCTTTTGGACAACCCAGTGTATTCATTCTTCATAAACAAAAAGGCAATTTAGATTCATAGTTTGATGGCCAAATTTCTCCATTTAAGCAGTTTCTCAAAACCCCTTGGCCGTCATGAATTAATTTGGCCGAAGAAACAAAATTTGGCTGAATTCTGACAGCATGTTGCAAAAAGCAACGAAAATGCAAAGGAAACAAAAATTTTTGCACAGATAATGTTCAAAACTTTTGAAAATAATTTCAAAATTGAAAATGATGAATGCTGAAACAAAATAAAAGATAACAGACAGTTTTAGATAAAAGCAAGTGAAAACTTTTGTAACCTACAAAGCAAATTTTGATTACGGTATCACTCCCAATAATTAGCAAAAAATTAGCGTTTTTGTATACTGCGTTTAGCTGGCTGAATTTGGCTGCCAACCACAAAGTATGTGGCTGCCAACCATTCAAAACAACTGGCAAAATCCTGAAGGTGAAAAGTCACAATTTACTCCCAAAATGAAACCACAGATACTGGTGTGAAGTGTTTGCATTTGGTAACGATAGACAATGGGTCAATGGAAACAATGATTCTTTTAAATAATGTCAAAATTATGCTAGATTTAAAATTATGCTAAATTTTATGCTAAATGGTGATTTTTGGCCAATATCATGCTAATATTGCGCTAGATCAGGTCACACTGGCACCAGCCCACAAGGGAGTGGCTGGAACGGGACTATGTGGCTTGTCCCTAAATTTTTTTACGGTCACGCCCTTTGAAACACCGGATAAAACTTTTTTCAGAAAATATTTGCTTCCTTCTGTCCTTATTCATAAACATAACGATTTCGAAAAGATTTCAATTAACATAAAAATGCAAAACCAAGTGAGATAAAATACAAATTTATCTTTGACCACACAAGATATAACACCATCAAAAAGAACAAAAACGTGTTCCCAGCAGAACTGCTACTAATGCGTTCGTTAGCGTAAACTTTCAAAACATTTTCTAACCCATTATTGCAAGGACTATAGTCCCTGTTATGCAAAATTCCCAATTGAATGTTCCAAAACACCTAAGTTGAATTGCTTTATAACTTTTTTCTGAAATCTACTGAAAGATATCACATAAACCCCAAAATATATTACGGACAGGAAATCATAATCTCGGTCTTGGTCTTTAGGCTCAGTGTCTTTTTTGAAGCAAGTCATAAAAGCAAACTAAATTGAGATGATGTCTTGGAGTTAAAGCTGTATACAGAGTCCATATTTCTTCAAAATAGCACACAACAATATCATAAAGCGCAATTGATTTTTCTCCGCATGTACTGAAGCTTCGAGTTCTGAAATTTATTAATTCTTCTTTATTGTCCATTGCTTATTTCTTATCGCAATTTTCTTATAAAAAATGAGTGCAATACATAAGCCTGGAATTGGGCATTCACTTCGAGTTGAAAAGATGTTCCTATTTCTTTCTTAGGCGTTTCGATTGGTATTTTATGCTGCGCTTTTAAGAACATGCATTATTTACAAACCCACACTTTTTACAATTACAGTTCCACAATTTTAATTTACAACTCCACAAAGTGAGTCAGATCCACACTTATTTTAGGCCCTGTTCAACTAACACACAACAATATAACAATAAAACAATCTGAATTACTATACTAATGGTATCTTATGTGCTCAACAACATGATTTTGTATTTTGATATTCTGGGTGTTAGCAACACTTTATGGCCCATAATTTTGGTTTTTGGGTCTGTTGAATTTGTTTTGGATTCGGTTTTTGATACTTGTAGGTGAATTTTATTACTGCGGATGGAACTCCCCGAATATAAACAAATTTAGTGTCTCCCCCGGGCCTTCAATTCAACAAAGCTAGTACGAGGGTCACTCCAAAATTATTGAGATATTCAAAATCCGCAAGAGGCATCGTGTTCAAATTTTCACAGTTTCTCAAAATACTCTCCACTGGCTTCAACACACAAAGTCTCATACGATAAAACCACATATCAAAACAATGGGCCCATTTTTCCGCAGCCAGGCCAGGAACAGCCTCGTTGAAGGCACTAACTGCATCATCAGCGCTATCAAACTTGGTTCCGCGAATTTTTTCTTTCACCGCTGGAAAGAGAAAGAAGTCACAAGGTGCCAAATCAGGTGAATAAGGCGGGTGGGTCATCAACTGAACTGATTTTTCCGACAGAAAGTCGATGGTCAAAGCAGCTGTGTGAGCGGAAGCGTTGTCATGGTGCCAAAGTAGACCTCTTAAGCCGGTCCTTGGACGTTTATTTCGCCAAATTTCTAGAACCTGTGGTATGCAGTGGTTAACATACCAATCCGCGTTCACTGTACGACGGTCTTCAACTTGAATGGTTGCGACATGACCCGTCTTTGAGAAAAATGACGCAACCATCCTTTTGCCGACGCTTCTGGATCGCCGAAATTTTTGCGGCGGGTTTTCACCTGGAAGGATCCAAATTGAGGATTGGCGCTTTGTCTCCGGGTCAAATTGGTAAACCCAACTTTTATCGCCTGTCACAATGTCATAAACCCGTTTCAACTTCCCTTCATTAAATTTTTGCAGCATAAACTGGCACCAATTGACGCGCTGCTCTTTTTGCTCATCTGACAAGCAATGTGGCACCCAGCGGGCAGCCACTTTCCGAACTTGCAGGTGTTCATGCAAAATTGTGTGCAATGCTGCTGATCCAATCTTTACGCTATCCTGCATCATAGAATAAGTCATCCGACTATCTTGCCTTAGCATCTTCTCCACAGCGGCAACTGATTCTGGCACAACAGCAGTTGGGGGCCTCCCTGGGTGGGTCTCATCTTTAAGGCTCTCCCTCCCTCACTTAAATTCGGCAAACCATCAAAAAACTGTTGCCCTTGAAGGTGCATTATCTCCAAATGTCTGCAGAAGTTGAGCTAGGCACTCTTCTTGTTTCAGCCCCCTTTTAAAATCGTAATAAATCATTGCGCGAAAATCACGTCTTTCAAGCTCCATTTTTAACAAATAAGAACATCTAAGGTGCTGAAATTCAAAACCCTTTTTTATTTTTTTCCTGCGCTTGAAATTAACAAAAATTACAAAACATGGGTGAAATAGATGGTACAAGCCACCAAAAAAATTTCAAACTGATATCTCAAGCGGTTACTGAATATCTCAATAATTTTGGAGTGAGTGACCCTCGTATTATTCTAAGGGGGGGTGGCTTGTGCCCCCAAAATGAAAAAACCCTTTGTTTTCCATGGTTTGGACATATTGAAAATGGGGGGGGGGTTGGAGGAGACAAAAATAATTAATATCATTTATTGTGCAGGGCCTACGCCACGAATTTGAAAGTGGAGGGCCAAGGCTGGCAAAAGTAGGGGGCCAAGGCTTTCCCCCTTTTACTGCAGTTTTTATTGCAATTAATTCAGTTTTGCTTATTTTTTCTGTCCAAGTAGCCCCCGCCAAATTTGAAGACCATTCAATGGGAACAAGCCCTTAAAGATCTGCCTTTTTGAGCACACATCCTTGGCAGAAAAAATGTGTGGTTGCATTTTAATTGTACTTTGTACTTTAAACCCATCTGACGACTTTTTTACTTAGAGAGCACCAGCACATGTAATTGCATGCAGACATTTGGGTTGTGCGCAGGAATAATATTTTTTCGTGTTTAGGCAGGATAACATTGCTTTTGTGACTAGTAATCGTTTTAGGGTGCAGGCAGGGCAGGACAAAGGAAGAATACAATTATAAGTTGTTTAAGTTTGTTTACAAGTGAGCATTCAAGATGGCGGCAACCGGCGAAATGAACGAGAATCTTGTCGAACGCAAGAATACAGAAAAGTTCAAGGATACTGGAGACTATGGCGAACTATGTAAGATTGTAAAGAAAGTTGTAAAAGAAAGCTCTCATTGGGAACTCTATGGTCGTGATCAATGCATAGTTGCCACGGCATTTCTTTTGCTACTCCCGATGGGATTTTTGCTGGTACGACAGCAAGGAGTTTTGTTTTTGTTGGGCCTTTTTCTTCTCGGCACAACCCACATGCTGGCTGTTAGCAAGGCTGCACATGCTGCATCTCATAATGCATTGTGTGCAACAAGGAGATGGAATGATGTCTTTGGCGTTTTCTTCGGAGAGATTTGTGGTGCTTTCTCGTTTATGGCTGGAAGAGAATCTCACGTAAACATCCACCACCCGCATACAAACGTGGTTGGCCTCGGCGATTCAAGCCTTTGGAAAGCGCCTTTTCTTGGCCGAAAGGTTTATTTATTTATTGCCCCATACTTCCTTCCATTTGTTTCTCCTTTATTTTCCATGAAAATGCAATGGGGCAAGTGGAGACACGTTGCCGTGAATTTCCTACTGATGGCCTTTGGTTTTGTTGGGCATTTCGCTTGTTTTAAAATTATCTCAGGTCTTACAACTGCGTGGTCCTTGATTTGTCTGCTTGTCACAAGGAGTATGTTCTATTGCCCATACATACATGTCAACATTTTTCAACACATTGGTTTGTCAATGTACCACCCAGAGCATCGCCCAAAACGCCTAAGGTTAATGGCAACTGGAGTTTTGAATCTTTCCCGGAATAGCTTCCTTGACTACTGTTTTGGACATTCTCTTATCAACTGCCATGTGGAGCATCACTTGTTTCCCACATTGTCTGATAACATGTGCCTGAAAGTCAAGCCGATTGTGAGAAGCTACCTTGAGAAAAACAAGCTACCTTATCATGAAGACAGTTACTGGAATCGACTAAAGGTTTTCTATCACAATTATGCCAGTCTTATGGTTCATGCTCCTCCTTTAACCAACTTCATTGGAATCCAGTAATGTAAAGAGTAATTGGCTCCTCTGTCAAATGTACCAGCTTATGAAAAAACCTCCAATATGTATTTTAGCTAGTTTACTGATCTTATGTTTACCATAAACCTTGAATAAGCCCCCACCTTTGAATAAGCCCCCCTCTTTGAATAAGCCCCAAATTAAAGTAATTCTTGTGACATAGGCCCCCTCCTTGAATAAGCTCCCACCTTCTAATTTGCCCCCCTCCTTGAATAAGCACCCACCTTCTAATTTGCCCCCCTCCTTGAATAAACCCTCCACATTCAAGTATTCTTGTGACATAGGCCCCCTTCTTGAATAAGCCCCCACCTTTTAATTTGCCCCCATCCTTGAATAAGCCCCCACCTTCTAATTTGCCCCCCTCCTTGAATAAACCCTCCACATTCAAGTAATTCTTGTGACATAAGCCCCCTCCTTGAATAAGCCCCCTCATGGGCTGAGGTATTGCCACAACAGCAATAGGTTTATCCCAATATATCTGCATTTTAAGCACACTGACAAGCCTCGAATATTGGAAGAAAACTTACCCTGGTAAATATCCAAAGAGAACATACCCTGGTAATATTTTTGGCTGCTGTGAAATAAGCCCCCACCTTCTAATCAGCCCCCTTGAATAAGCCCCAACTGCAAAATATTTTTGTGAAATAAGCCATTGAGGGCTAATATGGGGACTTAGGATAATCTACAAAATTGATATATATGCAATGCTATAAGTTTCTAAAGAAATTTTTGATGCATTTAGAATTTATTTTTTAAAAATCTTATATATCTGGAACAAATTACCAGAATATACCATTTATAAAATACTTTGAGTTTAATTACCCATGATTTGATGAAGATCAGAGCAAATTAAAACTACCACAACAGATTGATCTCATCCAGTTCTCTTTGTAGTAAGAATGAAAATTAATGCATGTGTTACAAAGCATTGCCACAGTAAAGCCTATATGAATATGTAAATTAAAAGTTTGTTAAATTATTTAAATGTGGGATTGAAAGAATTCTGCAGTTTGGCAATATATTTTTTGAACAAATCTTTTGACACAAGTTTATTGTTTCTAAAGAAATTGCAAAAGAAAGTTTTTGATTAAAGCAGTTCAGAATTGAATTTATAGTTATGCATGGTGGTGCTGATCAAAACTTTTTATGATAGTAAGCTTTTGTTGTTATCAATGATTTTCTTTATAAAAAATTGGTTAACTGCTCTGCTGTTCAACTTAACTTCATATTAACTGATCTTATGTTGAAAACTGGTTTTATCAATTATAATAATTTACGTTATGAATGGAATGACAGAAAGGAATAATTTAAAAAATTTGTCAACCTTAATATTGGCAGTTGAGGCATACCTTAAATACCTTGAATTTAGAAACATAGTTGAGTTCTCATCTTTGTCATGAGCTTCAGCTTGACATGAAATTTAATGTTTGATTTGTATGAATGATCGTATTGTATATTTAAAAGAATATTCTTTGAAATTTGATGCCAAATTTACATCTTTTCATATCTTGGGGAGGCATGTGGTGCCAGGGTTTTTAATGAAAAACGGACACCTACACTATCACTTCCACGGTAATCTTCTTGGGTTAGGTGTTTTCTCCCTGTCTCCTGACTTGAACTAAATTTCTCAAAAATTTTTCATTTTTTCTTGTATAAGTTCAAAGGAATATAAATCAGTCATATGTGCTACATTCTAACTTTGTCTCGCGCAAGTGATGAAGCAACTGGATTTGAAGTAGTTCCCTAAACAATTTACGGAAACTTGCATAGCTATCATATTAAATTAAAAAAGAAAACACTCCTGTGAAAGGAAACTCTAGGTCTACTCCACATTCTAGTGTTTTGTCTTGCTAGCAAACTTAGAAAATCAGGGAAAATAAAACACGCATCTCACACCTGTATGCCCACTGTTCGAATAAACTTTGACCCCGTTTACACTACAGAAAGAAGGACGGGACTCTTTTGTTCCATTCTTGTTTGGACACGATCAAGGGCGTCGCGACCGGGGGTGTGGGGTGTGTCACACTCCCCAATAGTATCTCAATAGGAAATTTCAGGTAAAATCCGCTCGATGGAAGAAACGCTTTAGTTATTTCAGAGACCTTCATGTCATGAAACCAATAAAGAATCAAGCAAAGGTAGTTGCTCTGTTGGCTAAATATGATATCTTTTGATATGAATGAAGGTAAACAAACTAATGATTTGAAGATTGCTTGTTGGCAATAAATCTAAAAATCCAGGCCCTCTTTAGGTAAAATTGTGTCTTGTGTCCATTTCCCCTAAAATTTCTCCGTAGAAGCGTCAACTGCAATTCACTATTTTTTTTCAATTCACTTAAGCTCCAGATTTATTTTGACTGGAACCCCAATAATTGTCAAACTTTAGTATTTTTCCTTTATAACAGTGCACTGGATGAGAAGGAAAACAATGGACAGCCCCCCCCCCCCCACATATGAATCTCGTTCCGACGGCACTGTAGATAACCAATTGCAAATTCACTATGCCAGTTTTTTAAATGGCATATTGTAGTAAAAGTCATTGACTCTGAAATAATGAAGATTCAATGCATTTGATTATTCAAAAAACCATGTTCATTGTATATGTTTCAATGTTTTGCAGAAACTATCCAAAATACAATTGCTGTATGATACTGTCTTTCAGAAGTCAAGTAAAAAATGCAAAGCTTTTAGTGCTTGGAAATTTTTGCAAATTATATTGATTGTGTAACTTATTGATAAAAGGCAATGTTCAATAATCCTGTTCTAATCCTTAGCGACAAGCTTCTTAAAAAGACTACTGGTAAGTTTATCGCAAATTATCCCCCTCCGATGGTCAGTCATATGAGTTACATAGAGTCTTACGCGTTAATGCTCTTAGACCATTTCTATCTGCTATTGGTTTATATATTTCCGAGCTAGCTATATTCCTGTCCTAACCCCCTTTTTTTTAGCTTGTTTGCAAGCGTCCCTCTTGATGAATATGTCAAACTGTGAGTGATATAAGGCAAGTTGAGCGTTTGAAATAGAAAGATTGCGTCACGGTTCCGTCCCCTCTTGTTGATATTTTCATGCGTTTCCTTGATATGAAATTTCTTTACAGACAGATGCATACTGATACCGTCAATTCGACCGTTTTATTACTGCTAGTTCATTTAGCAGTAAAAAAGTAATAAAATGTTTTTCGATTGTATTAAGAAAGCTTAGCCAACTCCTGACGACTTTTAACTAGCTTATTTAAGATTGAAACGATCTAAATATTCAGAAATCATTGGGCTGTCTGAAACAAGGTCAGGCAAATATTGCCATAGACAAAAATATCAATTTTAGATGCAGTTGTCACTGAATATGCGACACTACTGGTACATCTTTAACGCTCACGCTTTGTTGAGAAATGTTCAAATTTTGGTCAAGCTTCTGTTGCACAAATAATCTGTCCCAAAGAAGGTTGCTTACCTAATTTCACGCAGGGCCTTCTAAACATAATAACTAGAGGGGCATGGCACTTCAATCCTCGTCGACATTTCATTTAAAATAGGACACTATCTACCTCTTTTATGAACAGAAGTTCCCTCTCCCGCCTCTCCCATATGCTAAAATCCCTTATCATGGCCAAGGAAAATTCCAAGGTTTCATTTGCAATATACACTGCAACTTGGACCACTATTTTTATGAAAAACAAAGTCGAAAACTTCTGAATTAGAATAGTCTTCAATTTTTTGATAACTTTTGAAAGCAATAAAATTTCTAGCTACTAGCTCACTAGCAAAGAAGTATCCCATAAAAAGACATAATTTAAATCCATTTTGAAAATTTATTCCTTCTCGCAGTCCAGCGTTCCAAATTAAAATAATCATCAATACAGAAAATTACAATTAATTATAATGAAAAATAGAATTTCCTCAAATGTTTACAGTTGGATAAAAAGTGTCTGAGTACAGCTTAACATGTCAGCGTTCCATTCCTTTTTGGACTAACACCTGAAAAAACAAAATTAAGTTTACTGTTCAGGTATATACTATCGAAGAAGACTGATACAACCTGCTAATTTGGCATAAAAAACAAAACTATTGAATTTCCTTTGCTTCTACTGCACTAAGAACAATTGGTTTATGATCTAATTGCATAGAAAATGATATCTGATTCCATCGCAATAGTGTTGAAAAATGGAACACGATAAACAGTGATGAGGTATATTTGTTACTACGAAAAAAATTGCATAATGTTCCAAAAGTGCTCGTTAGCTACTTTTTCTCGAGTTTTATCTATACTAAATAACGATTGATTCTTTCTTTCAAATCTTCAGCCCAGGCAGGGTAATCTATATTGTTATACTGTGAATTTCTGTGAAAAGGACTTTGAAATTTGAAATCGAAATTAAAGTTTGAAAATAGGAATTAGAATTAACAAGATTTCTGTCTATGGAATAATGTTTATTTTTTGGTTAGAGCTTTCACAATAGAAAATTTTACCATAAAAAGTTGAAAAATAGATGGTCAAGTCAAGGCAAAGTTAGAAACAAAGTTCCATAGACTGCAGCTTGTGGAATCAATTGCATTGCAACCAGTGGCGGCGCCAGCTGCTGCAGAGTGGGAGGGTAATGGGTGTTACCCGTGAGACCACGCCCTGTTGGCCTCGTTTCAGTGCTTTGTATCAGGTCAAATTTCCTTAGGAAATATGACCTACCCCTACCTAGTGCTTTTTAATCCGTTTTCAGACGAAATATGTAGACCATGTTTCGACAAAAGTGGGGAGGTAATTACCCCCCCCCCATACCACCCCTTGGCACCGCCACTGATTGCAACAGTCACGGTTGAATGGGGCATTATACGGTGTTTCTGAAAGTTACCTCTAAACAAGGCCTTGTGCAGGATTAAATCGAATTCCCTCACACCAACAGTAAAGGCTCCATCTGACGTTGTAAGCACTGCCACATGAGAAATGCCTCCGACGGGTACTCCAACGCATGATTCGAATCCCATAACACCTTGCCACTGGCAGAGACCAAACCCATGATTAGGACTGGCGTAGGCAAAGTAAAACTTTTTGTGTATGGTGACGAATCTCACAGTAACAGCTAAAACAGAGAACAGAAAACTTGCCTTAAAATTTCATCAAAAAGAGAAACAAAAAAGGAAGATTTTCAAAAATGAATGCGACATATGAACGAACCATTTTGATCAGAAAATTAAATCTAACCTTTCACTTCAATTTTCTGGTAGAAATAGAACAATTTTTGCTCTTCAACAAACATGTGAATGGTAATGTCATAGTTATCACTTCTTCTTCCTTGAGCGACAGCAAGCATCACTTTCCCGTCAATCACACCAACATCCATTTCTTTCACTTCCGAAATCTTAATTGGCTGTAACTTGGTAGTTGCGAATGTCGTCGTATTAAGAATAAAGAAATCAAGTTGTTGGGTATCACCATACACACTTGCAGTTATAAGATATACCGTGCCGTTTACTCTGAATGTCCGGGTTAGTGCCGGAGGGCTTGAAACTAGCGATCCGAGTGCGGTTATCGGAGCATCGAACAAAGAGCTAGTCAACAGAGTGTATGGAATCAAGGAGGCTAAGTTCTGAACGACGACGTCATTCGAAGAAACACCCATTAAGTTTGCATAAAGCGAGCTTGTGACATTGTACAAAGATACAAACAAATGTTTGATTTTATCATACTTGAGAATTTCCGGGTAAACCGGACAGCCGGTCGTGTTGGATCCATAATGCCCTGCAAATATGTACGTTTCACCAGCGATGTCATAAAACTGCACAAAAGTGGCCTGGGTTTTGATAACTTGGTGTGTCTTGCAGGTGAGAGTGGATGTACACTGTAATATGTAAGCAGGACCACATCCAGATTGCAATTTACGCGCAACAGCTATGTAGACGAGGTCGCCAATGGTCTTTGTATCCAGATGCCCTCCGTTAGACATTGAGAATGTTTGGGATTTTTCGATTCCAGCAAGTTGAATTTGAATATCTGAAAAAATTAATTATCATAAACCTTTAACAAAAAACCTTATTAAGAAGAACAAAAAACCTTTGAATTTTATTTTAAGATGTGATGTACATTTCTAAACTCGATATCATTTGTTTGCAATTTATCACAGTTCGAATTTTTATCTGAATTTTCAGGGAAATGTGATATGTTGTAAAGACAAACCAATATGAAATTAATGCTAGGTTTAGAGTTCACAGCGTCCTAGAAGTATTCACAGCGTCCTAGAAGTATTCACAGCGTTCATCTGTGGGTTGCTGAATTGGAAAAGCGCACTTTTCTGCTTGTTTTTATCAACAAAGTTTTATAGTAGGAAAACATTAGAAATTTAAAGGGTGATCCATTGTTGTCTCTCACACAAATGATCTCCACCTCGAACCATACCTATTAAAATAGCAGATATTTCTTACCATTTGTGATGCCAATAAAATTTAATGTGAAATAAATCTGGAACTTTCAAAATATCATCAAAAATAGCTGGAACTATATCCCAGTCTACAAAGGAGAGACCGAAAACCATTTGAAAATGATCTCAAAATATGGGGCAGCTTGTCTGATACAAAATTGCAAAGGCTTCAAAATTTCTGAAAAGGGCAAAACACATATATAAACAGCTAAACTTGAGTATAACTAGATTACTAGTGGTTGTCAAAAAAATAATTTTATTAGTCGATTAACCATGATACGAAATATGGGATATGCCATCAAGATTCCAGTTTGCCAAAATAGCTTCAACTGCTCTTTAATAAATATACATGTATGAAAAACGTACTTTCCAAAGCAAGAAGTACTTTTATTTGTGAGCAAATTGGCAAGGCTGTAGCATTGATATTGGCGAGTCGCTGTGTTACTTCAGTCTTCCACTGTTCAGTTTGGTTCGCAACCTTCTGCACGTTTACGCCATTTACGTATCCATCCACGCGTAGATTTCCTGTAGAAGTAAGTTGGTAAAATATCGTTTATCAAAAATTTAGCGAAGCATCATAATTTTGGTCTTGCTCTTAATTCAAATTTGATCATTACAAAACATAAGGTGTCAGCCGTTGAGAAAAATAGAGCCACTTGGGGAGGGAGGGGAGGGGGGGGGGGTGCCGTGACCAATCTCGCGTCATAGAGGATTCTGGGTACAAAAAGAAGAGTGTTGATTAAAGCTTCAGTCAGCATTTGCATCGTCTGGATCTTTTCGCAAAACTGGGTTTACCTGTTTAGTAGCTCTAGCGAGGCAGGAACCAGCAAAGGCAAAGATTCAGCAAGGCAATAGATCCAAGTGAATCAACAAGAAGGTTGAATACATAATCTTGTCAGGAAACTTGTACAAGGAAAAAACATAATTTGCTATGACAAATCCCATCGGATCCATACGAAGGAAATTTTCACTCTACTTTCCTCTCCATAATAAAATAATTAAGGGCCAGCATAACATTGATTGCATCCCTCCATGTTTATGAATTCATTTAATATACCAACTGCACACGATGAATTTCATGACCTACAAAGTACTGTCTTACGCTCGTTGCCATTTTTTCCAAGTGACTTCTAATAAGACACTTTGGTTACAGATTTGTAAAACAGCTCGTTCTAAGCATTTGTACTTCGCTGCTTATCATAGTAGTTTACAGGCAAGAAATTTAGACATACCTCTGATTTCTAGATCTTTCTCAAATGTATTGGTACCAGTCAGCTCTTTGCTTTGATCCACATACATAATACGCTCATTCAGCTTTATGATGTCATAACCTGCAACTAGGCCAGTTACATTTAAGTCACCCTGCACTTCAACGTCTTTTGTAAATGTCTTGTCTCCGCTTATAATCAAGGGTCCATTTGTCGTTAAGATTTCTTCTGAAACGTCAAGACCATTCACTGTGCCGTTTTCAGGTAATATGACGTCACCTGGAAAAGCGGAAAAGACGTCACCGATACTAGAAATCGTTAACAGAAAAGACAATTACAAATATGAGGCAGAAATAACAAAACAATTACACAGTCATATGGCCCTATCACTAGCCCTATTCCCGTGCAAGTCTAGATCAACATATCAATTTTAGGATAAGTATTAAACGTACCTTTCACAGTAACATTGGATGCAAAAGTCAACTGTCCGTGAATCGTCTGGTTGGTAGACAAAGTGACCCTTGAATCGGCAAACTCTGAAACATCAACTCCATCAATTTTGCCTGTTATCTCGATGCTTCCATTAACAACTAGCTCTTTGAACGACTTTGTTCCCGTGATCTTCTGGTCCCCACGAGTAAGCATTACGTCGGACGATATATTTATTCCATTTAACAGACCGTTAACTTGGATGCCATCGTTAAAGTTCGTGCGATTTAAAAATAAATATTCTCCAAAAAGGTCTTGATCATCTGATAGTTTTACTGCCTGTTGATCCAAGGCCGTGACATTAACACCGTCGACTAGCCCGCCAACACCTATGTCCTCTGCAACAAGCCCCCCGGTCACCCTGATACCTTTCTCTGATGCGAAAACCTTACGTCCGGTGATTACTTGATCTTTACTCTTTGACATGACGTCAGTAAACAAATTGGTCATATTTAAGGAATTAACCCGATCTTTAAAATCGACACTCCCGTGTACATCCACATTCTGCATAAAAGTCTTTTTGCCATTAATGATCCCTAAACCGTCAAGTCTAACAGCTCGTGCACTAAGCTCTGAGATATCGACGCCATTTACGAATCCCGAAACGTGGATGCTGCCATTGGCATGGAAGCCATTTTTGAACACCAGCTCGCCCCAGACATTCTGATTTCCAGTGATTCGCATCATCTCTGAATCAAGCTTTGTAAGATTAACACCATTTATTAAACCACCTACCGTTACATTCTTTCTTACCGTGACGTCACCTTGAAAAACTTTATTCCCGTGAATAATTTGGTCTCCAAACGTTAGCATAAGGTCATTAAGGTTCAGGCCATCAAATTTTCCTTCGACGGATAACATCTCGCAGGTCACATTGCTGAGAAATTCTAAGTCTCCAATTATAACTTCGCTTCCTTGCTTTGTGACAACTTGTCGCTCAAACTCTTCGAGATTAACTCCATTAATCGTACCATTTACAAGATTCCTTTGAATGAAAACAGTCTTCTCAAATACCTTCTTGCCAGTAACACGTTGATCTCCAGTCTTCTTCATGGAATTATCATCAATTGCTGTCAAATTAATGTTATTGATAAGGCCAGGAGTGGTGATTGGCTTATCAAACTCAACATCATTGACAAAGATCTTATTTCCACTGATATTCTGTGGTTTTGATAATCGTACAGCCGTTTCCATCAGTTCGGTAATATTAACCCCATCAATCAGTTTCCCAACTGTAACTGACTGAGAGCTTGAAACGTTGCCGGTTAATCTGACCGTTCCAGAGATTGTTTCATTTTTGCCCTTGTAAACCGCATTTGCTTCTAGTTTCGATACGTCTACCCCGTTTACCGTTCCGGTTATGTTGATAATTCCAGCCATTAAAGAACTGTTTACGGTGATTCCATCAACGAAGGTCTTTTTACCACTAATGTTTTGAGCTGTATTCAGCGTGACGAAATCATCTGGAACTTGATATCCATTGATCTTACCATCTACAACTAGGCCATTTTCAACAAACAGGTTGTTTTCAATCTTTTTCTTGCCGGAAATAACCTGATCTGTTCCATTTAATACAACGCTCTGCATAAATTTTGGAAAGTTCTCCCCGTTCAAAGTGCTGCTAGGGCCGAAAAAAATGCCACCATTTATATTCATTGTATCTTCAAAGATGAGCTCTTTTTCTATCACCTGAGGTTGTGTTAACTTGATCAAATCTTCAGGTATTCTTACACCATTGACTGTCCCATTCACATCTAAATCTGCAGTTACCTGGACATTTTCGAACGTCATCGGTGCAGTTACTGTTTGGTTGCCATCAACAGTCCAAATGCTTTCTCTAAGTTCCTTTAAGTTCACGTTGTTTATTTTTCCAAGAACAGAGAGGTCCCTAACAATAACTCTCCCAAGGAAAGTCTTTGGGGCTGTTATAACATTCTCACCTGTGGTTTTAACAATATTTTTGCTCATTTCAGATATATCGACTCCATCCACTGTTCCATTGACAGTAATGTTGCCATTCACCACGACGTCGTTCGCAAATGTTTTTGTACCTGTGATGGTCTGGTCACCTGATTTTGTCACTGCTTCCGTAGAAAGGTTGATTCCGTCAATCGTTGATGAAGTAATGATGTCTCCTACGAATGAAATTACAGTGTATTCATTCAATCAAGACGCTCAGTCATGTCATGAATCAAATACTGCTTTATACTGACCATAACTTTCGCCCTGGAAATATCCGAATGGTGTATCAAATATATCAAATACTAAACGTTCAAAACACTATTTACTGTGTCTTGAAAATAGTAAGTGTTAAATGATGCAATACAACCCTAAGTCTGTAAACAATTGCTAGATAGAAATGGTCCCAACAATGATAAAAGCTATGAAATGTAGCATGGTCGCCGAGATTGTTTATCAGCGAATGAGAATAGCCAATAGGATAAAGGGTGCACATGATTGGTTTTCTTTGCACCAATCAGCATCTTCTAGCATGTTCACCAATCGGCGTTTTATGTCACAGCAACTGATGAGAAACCATTTTATTGACGTGATCCAAAATTGATGATAGACAATTTATAGAATTTTGGAGGCGAGGATCGAGAAAAAAAAACAAGATACCAGAATATCAACATTACATGTGCAGTTTGAATAAGGTTGAGTTAAACGATTATCAGGTATTGATAAGAAGAATCAATGATTTCGTTCATAGAAAGTAACAGAGCAGAAATGACTTAGCGGCTAATGGTCGAGTAAAGGCCATTTCTTAAATCACATATTAATACGTGATTTAACACGAATTAATACACAATTCCTTTGTTTTTCCTTGTGCATGAACAATATCATAATCTAAATTTCAGATTAAGTTACCTTCTTCTGAACTTAGGCTTTTAATGATAAATTGTATTTTGTATTAATTTTATGGCAATTTGCATGTATTTTGTTTAAATAGTTGGCCTTAATGAGCTTTTAAGCTATATATTTTTTAACTGGCAACTTTAAACCAAAGAATTAATAAAAAATAATAACAAAAAATAAAAACCTTAGCGGGAGAAAAGAAATAGAGACGAAGAAAAATCGAGGAAAATTCAAGTCAGGAGAAACTGAGTTATTTGCAAAATAAATATAAATATATTACAATGAATTCAGCTATTAATTAATTACCATAAATGCAGAGAAATAGCTATGAAAAATAACAAAACATCTAACAATTTTCGTGATAACCATAATATCTTTGGCTTTGGAAAATGGCTTTGAAAAATTCTGACGTTCTATGTTCTAAGAGTTTTGAAAAAAATGTGGTAAAAGATTCGCTTTTTCCAAAGCCATTTTCAATTTTTTTACAAAAATTAACATTCATACAACAATTGATTTGTTTCTCTTTGATTGTAAACAAGATACCTAAATATTGATTTAGACCCTTTTCAAATTAAAATAAAAACGTTTCCTTAAACAGTTTCCAAACTTTATCATTCCGGTACAGTACAACACACGCATTAAAAGCCGAGTTTGTACAGACAAGCGACAAGCTCCAATGATGAACTGTAGCCAATAGAGTCTCTTGGTCATGTGATACGCTCCGTCCAATCATCAACGCTCGGTAGTCACCGATAACAATCATTGGAGTGTAGCATAAAAACATTGCAGTGAACAGTGCAACTACTGTCTTTGCCATCCTCAGCACATTTTGTCGTCCTTTTGTATTGTTGCTTTTGGCCACTGCTTTATTGCTTTGGTGTGTAAGATACAAAACACTGGCATAGCAATAGATAAACAGGATTGTACATACAACATAGGCCGCGGTAATAAACCCATAATAGGCCAGCTTAGATATAAAGAAAAGTGCAACACTGCGGCAGCTACAGACAGAAACCAGCTAAGGACAATCAACATCATGATGGTCCTTCGTGAGACTTTCTTCCCATTTAGGCCTCCTCGAATTGAATAATAACGCACAGCGGCAAGAAAGTATACAGATAGTACAGAATTATTTGTAAAGAAGACAGCCAACCCATTGCTAATTTTGCTCAGTAAGCAAGAATCTTTATAAATCCTATAAAGGTGCAATGGCTGGACAAAAATGCCAACAGAGAGGTCGATGACACAGAGCGAAACAACAATCAAATTTGATCGTTTGAGTATTTGACCTGTCCTTTTTAGGCCATAAAGTAAAAATATGTTTGAAAACATGATTGCAAAAACCAGAATAGTGTTGTAGAAAACCAGAACATTTTGATGCTTGATTTCACCGTTATTCCAATGTTCTGAAAACTGATCGCAAATTGAATCATTCATTGCAAATGGTTCAACGGCTGCAGCAGTTTCTATTCCTTGTTCATAATTCATTGTTGATATCATCACAAAAACGTAGAAGCCAATCCACTGTACTTTAACTCAAAGATAATACACCAATTCTTTCGTAATTGCGAAAGCTGCCGTAATAATCGCTGAAACTCTAGCTACTTCAACAGCCTGTCGATTCAAAGGTTGCATCGGTTAAGATACAGTTCCAGCCAGGCAGGAGATATCATATTAGAAGTAAAACATTGACATTACAGCTACTGCTGAAATACTTTGAGCAACTTCTTCTGCCAGCTCTCGTGTTTATAGTTCTCAGATTTATCCAATTACATACGGCATTCGTGACAGATACCAGAAAACAAAGGGCAGATGGATACGTTACTTCAAGAGACACCACTTTCATTTTTCATACAACTATCATTCTTGATTAAATATTGCATTCAAAATCAAATTTAATATAGGATTCGGAAGTCAAATATTGACATCCAGTCCTTTGAAGAAAGCAATGTAAGGTTTGGCCCCCACTGGTATTAAGTTTCTTTTATGAGTCATATATTTCTTTACATTTATCTCTTGAATGCTTTCATAACTAATTCTCCTCAAGCTTGTTATAAAATTGCAAGAAAGCGCACTGATTTCTTCAGTGAATCAGTAGTGAAGTGCTTAGCGCATTGTTTTTTAGTGTACATAACGTAAATGCAAGGTGTGTGACTGATGAAATGAATCTTACACAAAGACTGTTGGGATAAATCAACCAAGAGCGCAAAGGAGTGAAGAAGACTGTTTACATGCAACGTCGTCGGTAGAAAAGATCTTGGGCAAACAAAGAAAATCGAATTTAGGCTCTTGCAAATACCATTGTTTTGGAAAGCAGATTTATGGTTGCAAAACAAAACAAACCTACGAGTTTTTATTGGAAACACTGATTCATCGGTTGTATCTATCAAACAGAATACTCGATTTTCAAACAATATTTGATGGCAAACGAAGACATGGTTTGGTGCCAACAGAAATTTTCTATTGTTGGTGAGGAAATAAATCAAGTGATTCATAAGGAAAATACATTCCCTTTCATATCGTTTTAGGTTCTACAGTCTTAAATGTAAACAGTAAAGTAAGTATTTCTTACCATTGATTATGACGTTGTTGAATGTCTTTTTTACGTTGATGATCTGATCTGTGGATGTTGTCATGATGTCATCTTGTAAACGATAGCCGTTGGTGGTTGAATGTGTTTCAACATTTCCGTTGACAGTAACAGAGCCAAACACTCGTTTCTTGCCTTTGAAACGAATGGTAATATAATACATCAAGATAACATATGTAACGGTTTGGCTTTTATATGTAATCAAGTTAGTAATGTTCCCCTTGCGTGTTAAAGTCACATGTTCTGTTAAGTCCTGTTGTGTCAATGTGATTGTTTGTCAACATGTAGTGTGACGTCCGTATTGTCCTGTTAATTAGCTTCAATTTATGTTATTAGTGTGTTGATCAGGTTAGAGTCTTCTGTTATTAGTCTTTCTGTTGAATTCGCCTCGTGAAAATCAGCCTTTGGAGATAACACGAAAGAAGTAGTATATTTTGTGCGTTACTTATTCGGGGCCTAGGCCCTTTGGCCTAGCCCATCGCTCCACCAGCGAGCTGGTTATCCACATTCCTAAGAAGAACCCATAATCGTTACACATATATTGAAAAGCAACGAGTCAAGCAATTCTTAGCTTAATACACCTGAACGAAAGAATAATGAGCTGAAAGGATGTCTATAGAGGGGAAAGGAAATAAAAATTGATATCATGTTATTAGTCACCATGGGAAAGTAAATTGTTAATTTGCGTAATAAAGTTCAGTCAGATAACAGGAAACTAAATTTTGAGATTATAATGAACGATTCAATTTCAAAACACTCTGTTAGCAGAGAATATACGCTGTCAATTGTGAATTTTCGTGAGTATAACTTTTCTAGCCAACAATAATCAAAATAAACACTATGTAAGGAGTGATAATATCCTTCGCTTTACGTTGAGATTTAAGGCGAATTCTTAAGTAGAAAAATTGAAGAAATATATATATTTCAAGCTTTGTTAAAAGTAACAAACCAATATATGTTAGGAAAAACAAAAGTGAGCTCGATCCAAACCTTTAATCGTTTCCTGCTTATCCATCCTGACAGCATCTAAATCCAGTTCTGTTAGATTAACGCCATCAACCAACCCAGCTACATTCAAATTGCCACCAACACTGAATCCATTTGTGAATCGTTTGCTCCCGTTTATTACCTGATCGGTTGACAAAGTAACCACTTGCTTGCTAAACTCTGATAAGTCTTTACCGTTCACTGCCCCTTTGACTTCAACGGAGTTCTGAAACGTCATAGTTCCTTTGAAAATCTTTTTCCCTTCAATACGCTGATTTGAACTTCTAAGCACAAGGTCTTCCGGTATTCTTAGGCCGTTAATAGTTGAGTTGACAGTTTGGAGATTTCCTAGAATTCTCACAGGCTGTGTGAACATCTTCTTCCCTGTTACCCGTTGATCATAATGCGTTGTCATCACATCCTCTGGGATACGTATTCCATTTACTTTTCCTACAAATATCATATAGGTTACATAACAAGTTCATATTCGCTCATATTTCCTTTAAGTTACATCTGTTATATCATTTCCTAAGCCTGCAAAATAAGCCTCTCGCACAGCAAAATATACTTTTTGTACAAGATACCTAGATAGAGTATATAACGTCAAATAATGTCCAATCGCTGAACAGCAATCAATATTCAAGCAAAGATCTGAAGTATCACGAGATGGACAAAAGCAAATAGCATTAACAATTCCTTTTCCGGCTAGTGAAGTGAAGAATTTCTTTCCTTCCATGAAATAGAGGAGAGAAAAGAGAATCTGAATATACATGATACTGCTCAGAAAGCAAAAGTTCTAGATTTACTGAAACTTTTCTTCTCAAACAGCTTTGAAAATAAATATGCATAGAAAAATTGACATCCCATCTACGATTGGTTAGCATTTATACAACGGGAATGGGTATTCAGAACACATAAAAAGTGCAATAGAGGCTGAACGGCTTTGTACTGAATGGCAAAAATTTTTAGGCCTATTGCAAAAAATTTCAATGAAGATGTTTTTGTCGTAGTGGAAAAATGTTTACTGCACACGGTAACACAGGCCTTGTAAACAAAAAGATCACATATGTACCTGTCACAGAAACATCTTTAAGGATTTTCACATCGTTTACAAACACGTTTCTTCCTGTTATAACCTGAGCCTTGCTCTTGCTCCAGGCACGTTGCTCAACGTCTGTTAGATTTACACCGTTGATTTTGCCAACATCCATTTTGTGAACTGTTACATTCTGGAATGTAACGTTTCCTACGAATGTTTTAGATCCTGTGACGTCACTAGTGCCAGTCCTCGATACAGAATCATTCAACCGTTTTTCAAGCTCTGTTAAAATGCTACTTTGCATAGTTAAGTTCCGCTTGATCTCCATGGCACGATAAACAGCACGCTCGGTTGGGTTATTCTCGATATGGTTGGTGTAAATGACGTTGCCTTTGACTCGAAGCCTCTTAATGGCTGCATTTTTAAACCAGTAGTTTCCATACGCTGTTTCGTTGCCATTCAGTGTCATCACTTTCTTCAGAACCTCCCTGATCCTCTCGAGCCATGCTTTCATTTTTTCCATCCTCTCAGAAACATCATTCAGGGCCGTCCGAAGAACATGTTCAACATTCGGCTTTGGCTCAGCGATGCCTTCAAATGCGTATTTAACCTTGAACAGGTTATGTCCCCTACTTTCATTATAATTGGCCACAGCTAGGAACATTTGGTTGTTGACCGTAAATCCACGTACAGATCTGACGTCCGGCAAGTGAGGACTGGAAGGCAGTGGCAAGAGACCCTGGACTTTTGTCGGTTTAAAAAGTCCTAGTTTGGAGTCGTAGATGTATATTACAGCTTGTGACCTTGAATTTGCAACAGCAAGAAACATTTCGCCATTCGGGCCGCTGAAATGGAGCCATCGTCGAGCACCATTGGTTGGGATTCGTTGCCATTCTACCAAAAATTTCCCGCTCCACCAGTAAATGATGGAATCGGTTTCATAATCATTTGTCACGGTCCTCTCCCTGACGCCCTTTTGACTGTTGTATTGGTAACTGATCAACTGTGTGTACTCGTTAGCAACAACCACGTAATGGTCGTTCTTCATTTTGAAATATTCGAAATCGCGTGCTCCGTGAGTTAATACTTTCTGAGCTACTTCAAATGATACGTAGCCGGTGTCTTTCTGTCTTCCTCTGTTAATGGAAATATAGCAATTTACAACAGGCTATTTTTTGTTGAAGAAAATTGGCATTTTTCTTAAAATGAACCTAAGCAGGCAAAAAAGGCCTCAAGAAGATGTCAGTTCCTTACATGTCGCAGGTTACCCACCCTGATCATTAGGGAACAAGATTTTAAGAGAACATAGAGGGTATAAAGCTTGGTTCAATTCACCTGTACGGACGATGGTCTATTTGCATACATTTATGTACTTTTAACTTTAATTTTGTAGTTGATTTTGTAGTAGTTTTGTAGTAATTAGCTATATACAAGCTACGTTATTAGCAGCCTACTGTAAATAAATTAGATAAATATAAAAATGAAAAAAACACGACGTGTTGATATCAAATTGCTTCTTTTTCAGTTGCTTTATCAATTATTTGTCGCAAAGAAAGGACAACAGTGGAGACATCTTTAAGGAAAAGACCAAATGCAAATTGTTACGCAGTCTTTAAGAAATCACTAGATCTTGTGGTGACAAGGCTGCATACAACAACGTACCTGTACAAAGTCGAATAGATATCAACTTTGCCAGTGTCGTCCCTGTGATTGGCAAACATCATGTAAACCCATCCATCAATTTCAAATACTTCAACATCCTCTGCACCCTGTGTATCGAATTCTTGAATCAAAATAAAACCATCACGCACTCTCACGTGCAGGGTCGATTTAAGATCTCTTCGCTCCCGGTCATCGAGCGAGTTTGCTGCGACAAAATACTCATTGTTTCCATGAACAAACGACTTCACACTCGTTCCTCCTTTAGTCGCAACACTATTGATGCGATAAAATGTGGGTGAAATGTAGCGATAAACATGATAATGCCTCTCATGCGACATCTTACCGTCCCATGTCAAGCCGACATTTTCTACGAATACAGCGTACTTTTTCTCACCATGGTCGACAAACTCGAAGTCAACACAGCCAGGGATGTTAAACTTCTGTTGCAATACGAATGAATTGTTGTTTACCATACGGTAGATTTCTGAGGCAACATTACTGTGCCCGAAATTTACCACTGCAATGTACTGGGCTCCATTCATCTTGAATGGCTGAATTTCAACTGTGTGATTATTTGGTATCAGCAAGAAGGGGTCAATCGAAGAAATTTGCAGCTCTAAAAATGAAACAAAATTTTTCCCATTAGTCTGGACTGAACACTGGTGTGTTAAATGCTTACAAAATACTAGTATGATCTGAGCGTGGCATTCAACAAAGAAAAACGTTTTTGGGCCTAGAAAATGATCACAGGAGACACTACCAGTTAGAAGATGGCACGAAATGGCTGGAAGATTGTATACTATATGCATGCATTGCATATATATTGAATTGCAGTATACAAAGTATATACAAACATTGCATGGCACAAAATAGCGAAAACAGTGCATTCGTGCCATCTTTAAATTTTCCGGTGCCTAAATCTTTTTCAACTACCATGCCAGTTACAAAATTACACACATAAAAGATGCCTCAAACCTCGTAATGGAATGCTCTGTAAAAAATTTTTACTTAAGAATACTTCAGATCTAGAAGCTACAATGCCTGCCAAAAGTCTTGGAACACTGACATCAATTTCCAAGGTCAAAACCAATCATCCCCCTCTCCCCCACGGAACAATGTTGGTTTACCATCAAACGGATTAGGATTTTAGGAAGCACTTTCTTTTGCGCTTCATTTATGATATTTCTCTAAATCATCAACATTGTTTGAGGGGGAAGGGGGCGGAAGTAGCAAATTTTTTTCATGAAAGGAATGAAAGATATCAAATGCAGCGTAAATTGGTGGGTGTTCCAAGTACTTTTGGCAGGCATTGTCTGAATTTCATTTTGAAGCTTATTAGATATTCCACCAAAACCAATATCCTCCTATAGGTTTTTGATGGTGCTGATTCCATTTCTGCCATTTTCAACATCGTACGTGTTACCGATAAGGAGATATGGGGGTATTGTTATTTTTCGGGGTGGGGGTAAGCTACCCCCATAAAACTAAATGCCATATTTCAATTAAGGTGAAAATTGCTAAAATCAAAATCGATTTCCAATAAATAGGATCAAGATTGTATTTTGAATCTTTTCAAAGGCTCGTAGCCAGATGGCTGTCTAAGAAATAATGGGATAGATGAAGGAGACAAATATGAGTGGCAGCTAGAAAATAATCTAAAAATGGAAAGGATGCAATTTTATAAAAGTGACATCGATTCCTCTGTTTCATGTTTCTAATTATAGATAAGGTCGTATTTGAGAATTATGTCGGGTAGTTGCTCTCCTTTTATCACGGATTTACAAGTTGTCATTCATATAGGCCCTTGTTGTGCAATTCAGTGCCCAAATGACAAATTTCAGAGTGTTTACCTAAATTGTAGAAAGGAACCCCGTGTTTCCCACATCAGAGTTCCCAACTGATTGATCTACTATTCCATGTTGGTTGGTAAGGGAACTGAAATAAAACTGACATCCACTCGCCTTCCTGCCCTCCTAAATGCTTGGCCCAGAAGCACTACAAAGAAAGCCCTCTTCCCTACTGTTACTGCATTGCCAAAATGGCCTTTAAGTTAGACTCTACCTGCTACTTTTATCTTCATAAAGCGCAAGGCAGATTATTTCATCGTTAATTGATTGCTGTATTTGTTTGCGTGACATTTGCCACAACAAAATATCTTATTTCATCGAATGTAGCGCGCGTCGATGTGAAGGACAAGGCCCCGCAAGGCAACTCTCACCCTCGGAAATGAACGCTTGTAGACCGTTGTGTAGACCGTGGCTGTTTCTTCGCAATTTTCTGACTTGTCAGGGGGAGGTTTGCCCCCAAATTCACCCAAAAGGTGTATAATAATACCCCTCAAAGATAAAATTAACCTTTGTATGAATTCCATGAAGAAAACGGCAAAATATGACGAAAATCCCACGGTCTACACTCAAAAGGAGAATAAGATCTAGAGTACTTCAAATTCAATTCTCAGAAAGTGTAGACCGTTGACACTTTCCTGAATTTCTTCAGTTTTACAACTTGTATCGATCTGAAAACCTACAATATGTTTTATACTAGCCATGCACACCTACTGACGAGGTTTCGTCTACTTTCTTTGAAAAATACGATTTTTATGAACATTTTAAATCTGTAGACCGTGGCTGTAGACCGTTGGTAACCATTGGCAATAGGCATTTTCATACTACATCACGTGCCCATTAGGAAAGGAGCGTTCTTTCAATTCCTAGCATACTTTAACAATGGAAAACGAACAATTATAATTGGCACAAACCATTTTCCAATTACTGGGACAAGGGAAGATAGAAAATAATAGGGAATGGGGTGTCTATGAGCGCTACCATGTTGCCACATGTGAATGCGAAGGAGCATAGTCTAAGCAAATTTATTAAATTCGTAGATGGTTTTGAGAGGGTTATGGTGGATAAAATTGAGCAATTTGAACAGTTTCTCACCAGCATGTTGTTCGCAATTATTTATATCATGCATGGTTTGTAGACATTCTCATGAATTTTTTTGTTTTTTCATCAACAATTAAACCATAAATAAGGGGACTTTTCAGCAAAAAAAACACTTTTTCAAAAGCACTAAACTGTACTGTTTTTCCTTTGAAGATTGATAGTTTTCTTAAACCGATGATCGAAATCTGCACAAAATAACTGTATTCAATAATGATTTAAATGATATTGACGGAAAAAATCAGTAGAATGTTTTTGTAACAAATAACAATACTCGGATATCTACTATATCAATCGTTCAGAGTCCCAACCCCCTCCCCCCCTTTTAACTGGGTAAAGAGTGAAAATTTCGAATTTTCATTAGTAGCAGTGAGATCAGCACCATCGAAAACCCTAGGGTAGCACAATGTTTTGATATCGCAGATTGCTGTTTTCAAGATAATTTTCAGACAATGCCTGCCAAAAGTCTTGGAACACTGACATCAATTTCCAAGGTCAAAACCAATCATCCCCCTCTCCCCCACGGAACAATGTTGGTTTACCATCAAACGGATTAGGATTTTAGGAAGCACTTTCTTTTGCGCTTCATTTATGATATTTCTCTAATCATCAACATTGTTTGAGGGGGAAGGGGGCGGAAGTAGCAAATTTTTTTCATGAAAGGAATGAAAGATATCAAATGCAGCGTAAATTGGTGGGTGTTCCAAGTACTTTTGGCAGGCATTGT